GACATATTGAGGTCTTATGAAGTGAAACGATCAGTCTGTGCAAGAAACTGAACATTATTTACAGCATTATTACTGTAATCCAGAGCCTCAGACAAACGGGGAATTCTGATTCTTTTCTGTGAACTGGTTCTTTCGGACAGTTTGTTTCAATGAACTGATTCAATTCACTAGTTAGTTTACATAATCATGCAATGACATCACATATACACAATTATATTATTAAAGCACCTAATAATGATGTGAAACGTGGATGTTTTACATGTCTAAAACATATAAAGTGAATAAACTGGTCTTCATCAGCTCAGCTTTATGCGTAAACAATGAGAAAGCATAAAAACGTTAATTTCTCTCCTTCATTCAAGTGTTGCGTTCACACATGCGCATTTCAGCGGCGCATCTGTTTCCTCAGTTCAGTGTCTGCTGGAGGAACTGGAGCGCTGAATGATTCATTCATCATTTGATCAGATGTGCCGCTATTTCGGAGTGACGGTCAGGGAGTTTGGATTGAGTAACTTGTAGATCTGTGCTGTTCGAGCCGCGAAATGATTCAGACGATTCAGTCCGATTTGATGAATCAGTTCAAATAGTTCACTAAAAAGAACCACTTCAAAATAATGATTCATTCACAAACTGAACGGTTTCCCTGAGGCTCTGGATTACAGCAATAATGCTGTAAATAATGTTCAGTTTCTTGCACAGACTGATCGTTTCGCTTCATAAGACCTCAATATATCGTCAGGAGCCACGGGGATTATTTTTGAGTTGCCTGATGTGCTTTTTTGACTCACTTTTTTGAGTGACGGTAGCCATTGACTTGCATTTTATGAGGCCCACGGTTTCAGCTAAAAAAACTTCTTTACAGTTCTACTGAATCCAAAAAGTCACCCACATATTGGATGGCCTAAGGGTGAGTAAATTAACAGCAAATGTTCATTTTAATTGTTACATCTGATTCATGATGTGATGCTTTCTTCTTTCCTCGTCACTTACCCACCATCCAGTCCACTTCTTCGACGTTGTCCCCATACAGCCCATGTGTGCTCTTTCCGGTAAAGCCCTCGGACACAAAGAGGGTCGTGTGCACGTGTGCCAATGACAGGAAGAGCAGGAAGGGCCCGTCTTTGTGTCTGACATCATAAATCACACCATTAATGTGAATTATTACCAAAGAAGTTTCCCACCGCAGGCACAAGAAATGAGTGCGTGGGAAACTCACGAGACGTGAAGCTGATTTGTCCGGACAAGGCAAGGCAAGGCAAATTTTAATTACAGAGCACAAGTTTAACACAACCGTAGTTGATCCAAAGTGTTCTACATTAAAAATAAATCCGAATTTTAAAAGGAGAAAAATATTTGTTGTCAGTAAATTAATTAATAAAGCTTCATCTTTCATCATTCTTTTTTACTTCTGTTGAATTTGTGCATGTGTTTTGTGATTTGCAGGACAAGTCTAATATCTAATGCATTACCACGTTATGAAGCATGCATGCATGCACAAATTCAACAGAAGTAAAGAAGAAATCCAGCTCTGTTCATGTGTCGGTTATCGACTGACCTCTCCACGAACCGCTCGGCTTCGCTCATCAGCCTGGCGCTCAGCGTCTCCAGCTTCACGGGCTGCTCCACCACCTCGCCGTTCCTCATGATGATGCAGTTCCAGGTCCGCAGGAGTTCAAACGGCACGAACCACGCCGTGAAGCCCAGCAGCGACAGAACGGCCAGAAACGCCGCGAGCGTCCAGCTGACCCGCAGCAGAGCCGAGGCTCGGACCGCGAGCAGCGTGAGAGACGCCAGCGCCAGCAGCGCAGACACCTGCCACAGCATCTCCTGCACATCCACCAGCACGCATTTCCCCGCTCCGGGTTTGCAGTCGTTGAAGTTGGTGAAGGGAAGCCCGTAGAAGAAGTCGAAGCCGTGATTGTTGGGATGATGGCAGTGATCGTTCCTGCTCTCGCAGCTCACACCTAAATGCCACTTACCTGAAGAGTGAACACATTTATCTATCTTTAAGCTCCAGTGTGCCAGTGTTTGGTTCCCAAAGCTCTTCAAACGTCACACAGGTTTGGAACAACATGAGGGTGAGTATATGATCGTGATCTATCTCTTCAGTGGATTTCTTTATGCATACTATCATTTTTAACATTTCTGACTTGAGCTAAACACCGTCTTGCTGGAGCTGCTTCACAGCAGCATTTGAATCAGTCTCACGTTTGATGAAGATTGCATTGATTCTCCTGTGCATCAGTGTGAAGCTGCTTCAGAACGATCTGTACTGTGTAAAGCGTGACTGGACTGGACACGTCTTACCCACGATGCCGGTGGTGTAGCCCTGCTTCTGCAGGAGTTTGGCGAAGGTGGTTTCATTCGGTGGAAGTCCTCCAGATCCAGCGAGAAACAGAATCACCTGAACTCGGCCTGTGCTGCCTAGACCTTCACATCGACACAGACACAGACGCTATATCACAGACCGATAAAACAAGCTGCTTATCTCGTGATTTATTGGCCTGGTGATTGACATTAAAGGCGATAAATATATCGGCATCCACACCGGCGCACAATAACAAATTACAGATTAAAGTGTATTAAAATAGAACACTGTTATTTTAAATTGCAATAATATTTCACAATTTTAAGTTTTTTTCTGTATTTCTGATCAAATAAATGCAGCCTCGCTGAGCAGAAGAGACGTCTGTAAAAAGTAATAAAACTCTTGCTGATCTCAAACGTCAGCAAGCTCTACAGAAAAGCTGGATGAAGTCGGTGGATTCGGATTTGGCTGTCAGTTCATTGTGGACTTACTATTAATTTGAAAAAATATAAAAAACAAATGTACAGTAGTCATGCTTAGTGTGAAAGTGTCTTTATCTTATGTCAGTTCAGAAGTATTTTAGTGCATTTTGCATGAATATTGCATCAAAATATTTAATTTCAGTGTATACTCTTACTTCTCAATATAATATATTATTTTATGAACCTATATCCAGTATATATATATAATGCATTTCATATTTATTCTTATATTTTTGAGCAGTTTTTGGACAGATACACTACAAAAAAATTACGCCGTCTTGTTTTACAGTGCACAAATATTTTAACATTTTCAAATCAAGACACATTTTCTGGAGAAGCAAAATCACTAAGTCCAAAAAAAGTCTCAAAATGAAGTGAGTTTTTGCTTAAAATAAGAACAAATGTGAAAAATCTTTCTGACTCCATTGGCAGATACTGTAAGACTCACTTAATTTTACCGCATTTTTCAGAAAACAAGACTTAATATCTTAATAAGACTTAATAAGTCTCCAGTAAATGTATCTTGTAAAATATGTAAACTATGTAAAATAGTGTATTGACAAAAACTGCCCCCAAATATATTGTCTAAAAAATATATATGATTTTCAAACATATATTGGCCACTATGAGAACAGAGATTTGTTTAATAATCAATCTGACCCTTTTTAAAGCAATATTTACATTGGACATCAACACAGATCAGTGTTAATAAATAAATAATTTATTTTGCATATAGTTTGCACAATCATTCCATTTTTACAGCAATTTATTCTATTGTATTTTATTAGTGCTATAAACAAAATATGCGTAATGCATATAAAATACACCATTTTGTAATTGGTCATAATCTAATTACTTTGCATTTTGCATTATTTTGTCAAAAAGCAACAACAAAAAAAAATTTAATAACTTGTTTTCCTTAACTTAAAAATACTCTGCATCCAGTTATGTCGTAATAACGAGATGTTATGTCGTAATAACGACATCTTTTCTCTTTAAAACTACATCTTTTCTCGTAATAACGACATATTTTCTCGTAATAACGACACCTTTTCTCGTAATAACGACATCTTTTCTCGTTAAAATGACACCTTTTCTCGTAATAATGACATCTTTTCTCGTAATAACGACATCTTTTCTCGTTAAAACGACATCTTTTCTTATTAAAACGATATCTTTTCTCGTTAAAACGACATATTTTCTCGTAATAACGACATCTTTTCTTATTAAAACGATATCTTTTCTCGTTAAAACGACATATTTTCTCGTAATAACGACATCTTTTCTCTTTAAAACTACATCTTTTCTCGTAATAACGACACCTTTTCTCGTAATAATGACACCTTTTCTCGTAATAACGACATCTTTTCTCGTTAAAACGACATATTTTCTCGTAATAACGACATCTTTTCTCTTTAAAACTACATCTTTTCTCGTAATAACGACACCTTTTCTCGTAATAATGACACCTTTTCTCGTAATAACGACATCTTTTCTCGTTAAAACGACATATTTTCTCGTAATAACGACATCTTTTCTCATTAAAACGATATATTTTCTCGTTAAAACAACATATTTTCTCGTAATAACGACATATTTTCTCGTTAAAACAACATATTTTTTCTCGTAATAACGACACCTTTTCTCGTAATAACGACATATTTTCTCGTAAAACTATATTTTTTCTCGTAATAATGACATAATTTCTCGTAAAACGACATTTTTTCTCGTAATAACGACATATGTCATAGAAATGATATGTTTTCCCGTTATTATAGATATATAGTACATTATGTGAGCGAGCTAAGCGACTGTCCGCGCTGCTGTCGCCACAGTCTGACATAAACGAGGATCTGCACGCTGCTGAAATTATTGAAATACACTGTTTTAAATGTATTTTAATGTAATGGTTTTAATTGTAGCGGCATGTTTATTAGGATTAATCTCCAATCTGTCTACAATATAGTGCTATCCAATAACTGCACTCAGACCCAAGAAAACATCTCGTTAAAACGACATAATTGAGTGGAAAAAATAATATGTGTGTGGCAGCAATGCGTCACCGTACGCATGCGTGCAGTGATCATATGCACAAATATTTAATGAATATTGCTCTTGAACATTGAATAGTAATAATTTTTATTATTACTATTATACCGCAATGTGAAATATTGTTATTATTAGAAGTAATAACAACAGTAATAATAATAATAATTTACATTATATATATATTTGGATTGATTTATATTAATTAGCTAACCAAACCAGCTATGTGTGCGTTATTGTCTAATTTGAAATTGACTTGATTGCAAATGATTGCAAATATACTATTTAAACAGAACTGAGCTGGATGATGACATCACTGAATTCAATGATGAACTGTCTTTAACTCAAAAATGAGTGTTTACTATTGTAATTTTGCATTATTGACACACTATTTTCCTAATTAATGCTGTTCAGTTGCTTTGACACAATCTGTATTGTTAAAAGCGCTATATAAATAAAGGTGACTTGACTTGACTTGATACTAGAGTGTTACAAGGGTGTTGTTAGGGTGATAATGGGGTGTTTCTGGGTGGTTGCTAGGGTGATACTAGGGTGTTAGAATGGTGTTGCTAGGGTGTTCTGGGTGGTTGCTAAAGTGTTGCTAGGGTGTTCTGGGTGGTTGCTACATTGTTGCTAGATAGTTGTTATGTGGTTGCTAGGCTGTACTAATATGTTATTTATTATTTGCAAAGCTGCATATTCTCATAGGTTAAGTGTGTGTTTTCTGCGGCACTAGATGCTGTCTGTCCTACAGGAATATAGTGTTGAGTATTGACGCGCTGGTGTTGTACCTGTCCTCCGGCAGCGTTCCGCCTGCCAGCTTCACCACTGTGGGAAAAACATCCATCAGACTTGTTGGTTCTGCCACTTCTCGTCCCGGGATGAGACGTCCAGGCCAGCGGAATATTCCCGGAACTCGGATTCCTCCCTCCCAGCCGCCCATGGCTTTACCACCTAAACATAAGAGGGTCAGTAATGACACAAAATCATATATTTTTGTTCAGCATCATCATTCCTCCAAATGTCTGCTTTTGTGTTTCGTACCTCGATAGATTCCATTCCAGCCTCCTTTCGGACCCTCTTCGATGTGGCCGCCGTGGTCAGAGGTGAAGTACATCAAGGTTTTTTCGGACAGGCCGAGCCTTTCAATGGTCTCCATCATTCTACCTGCGATCAAACACAAGATATTCTCCATGAGTCACGTTTCAAACAGGTCATCCTATGTGACTGAGCTGATTAATCTGTGATCGTGTGATCTGAGGTTACTTGAGTTTGTTACATTTAAAGGGATAGCTCACTCAGAAATGAAAATTAGCTGTTAATTTACTCACCCTCAGATCATCCAAGATGTAGGTGACTTTTCTTCTTCAGTAGAACAGTAAAGAAGATTTTAGCTGAAAGCGTGGCGATTCATAAAACCAGCAGCTACCATTTCTTTGAGAGTCAAAAAAAGCATATCAGGTAACTCAAAATTAAAGGGATAGTTCACCCAAAATGAAAATTCTGTCATGAATTACTCACCCTCATGTCGTTCCAACCCCGAAAGACCTTCATTCATCTTCAGAGCACAAATTAAGATATTGTTGATGAAATCCGAAAGCTTTCTGACCCTCCATAGACAGCAACGCAACTGAAACGTTCAAGGCCCAGAAAGGCAGTAAAGACATAATTAAAATAGTCCATGTGACATCAGTGGTATCATCAGGAGCCACGGATATTAAAGGGATAGTTCACCCAAAATGAAAATTCTGTCATTAATTACTCACCCTCATGTCATTCCAAACCCGTAAGACCTTTGTTCATCTTTGGAACACAAATTAAGATATTTATGACGACATCCGAGAGCTTTCTGACCCTGGTACTCTTGTGAATGTTCATCGAAGTCTGACTCGGAAGAGAAGAAATTGTTGAATAAAGTCATCGTGCCGGTTGCCGGTGTTGGAACCCTTGGGACAAAATTATTGGCAACGGCCAAACAATGCTGGAAACGCAGGTTTTTGTAGAACGCAATTCATGGACTGTTTTAAATGAACTGATTTGTACATATTACTGTTAGGGGGTGAAAACGGTTGTATATGTGTGAAGGTTGCTTGTTTGTACCCACTATGACACATTAATATATTGGTATCAAAAGCTCTATGGTTTGTATCTCACGTTTTTATTGTGTCTTTCTTTAAACTGAGGTTTAGGAAAGTTTATTATATATAGATAGGCCATTCCCTTGAACATGAATCTCAAGAACGGTCTGTGATGGGGGGCTATCTGGATATGAAAGTATGTGTCTTTCAAATCCAGAGTCAGAAACCAGTCCTCGGGACAAATGTGTGCGAGGATCTGTTTCAAAGTTAACATTCTGAATGGCCGTCTCATGAGAGCACGATTCAGACTTCTGAGATTGAGAATTGGTCTGAGCCCACCATCTTTCTTGGGAACAAGGAAGTAGCAGCTGTAAAAACCCCACTTGCTGTCCGCTAAGGGGAACCGCTGTATGGTGCCCTTCGCAAGCATTGTGTTTACTTTAGACCAAAGAATGTGGTTCGTTGCCCAGTACCAAAGTCCGAATGAGACCTCTGAAGTGAAGTGGCCTGCGAGCGAACTGAAGCAATTACCCTCGTTCAATGACCGTAAGAATCCAACTTGACACGCCAGGATTGGCTTTAGAGCCTCGTAAAATGATCCGTGAACCCATCCATGGCAGGCCCGAACAGTCCCTTGGGCGAGACTGCGGAGTCAAGGAAGGCCATCCTTTCCATTATTTCCCTGAGGCTGAGCCATAGGTGGTGCTCCAGCACCACCAGACTGACCATGACCTTGCTGATCCCCCGAGCAGTCGCCTTGGTAGTGACGTCAACCTGCAGGGCTTAGATGGATTCGCAGCAGTCTTGAGACCTCTAGTAGACAGTGGGCAGAGGTGAGCAGCCACCGCCTCATCGAGAATGGCCCAGACAAGCGACGCACTCACTGTGCCCATCTCACTCCTTGCACGAGCTGATTTGAAACTTCGTCATGAAATTTTATCTTTTGGAAATTTGCATTTGCTCCGAGGAGGGCCGGATGGCCGCAGCAGACGGCTCTCTTCTTTCCTTCTTTTTATTCGGCTTCTTCGGCATAGGGTCAGCGAAGAGATGGTCTCGCTCCTGAAGGAGAAGATTCTAATGAAATAGCATTCTGAGCCGACTTATATAGAGGTCGACTCCACCCATTCTAGCGGGCTAGAGCACCATTGGTTTGTGCAGCTAGACAAACATTAACAAATCAGGCTTCAGTACCAGGATAAACAGGAGTTGTCCTCATAAACAGCTTGAAGTGAATGTTTGAAAGGGAACACCTCTATTGTAATACAGCCTTTATTAATTCACCATCATCATCATCTAGCTTGTTCTGAATCAGATCTGAAGTCAATAATAATTTGCTACTTGATTACTTTTTAGTTTTAACACGAAATAAACATGAATGAACATCTCACGCCTCACGTAATCGCTCAATCAGCGTCTCAACCGCGGAAACACGTCATTAAAACAGCTTGTAAACAAAACGTCACTAGCATTTCATTTACCTCAGGCCAGTCATCAGTGTCCACAGCTCGTTAGTGCGCTATAAATGAAGAGCATTTCGCAAAATATTAGACTATATACTCATTATATTTCACTTTACCTGTTAGTGATGTCTTAATTATTTAATGTTTAAATAAATCTGTTATGAAACGAGTTATGAGAGGCACTTTGTAAATGAATATATTTTAACAACTAGTAGAATTTTATCATTTAGAAGTAAATTTAAAAACTGCATCATGTGCAATTATGTGTGAGGGCCGGATGGCCGAAGGGGAAGGCTCTCTTTTGCTGCTGGGGCTCTTCAACAGCGGTGAGCAGGTGAGTGCTTTCCTTTTTCTTATTCGGCTTCTTCAGCATAGGGTTAGCGAAGAGACGGTCTCGTTCCTGAAGGAGAAGATTCTGATGAAATGATGCTCTGAGCCGACTTATATAGAGGTCGGCTCAGGGGCGGATCTACCGGGGTGGCACGGGGTGGCAACTGCCACCCTAAGAAAAAGCTCTGCCACCCCAGAATTATCAGAATAAAATATAAATGTAAGCAGTGTTTCATGTGCTACTTTTCAGCAGCGACGATGACAGCGTAACGCAAAATAATGGCAAAAACTAAACTGTCTGTGCATGATGGTTGCATGTGCACACAGCGTGCCAGTGTAACTTAGTCGGCTTCATTAACAAATTACTCTTATGAACCGGTTCTTTTTGAGTCAAAGCCACAAAGCGCGGCGGCCCAGTTCTCTAACAAATTGTTTTTACAAATTTGTTCGTGAATCAAATAATTACTGCTTTTCAGGTAACTCAGAAGTCCTCTGAGAAATCTAATCTTGTCCGGATATGTCTGAGATTCATCGCGTAATTGTTTGGTGATCCGATTCTCCGACCTCTCGCTCCACTTTCATCATGAATATAAGCCATGACAATAACATTAAATCAATAAGAAGATGCCGATCACGGAAACTAATAGCAGAGTTAGGTAAGAATCTAGTCGCATTGCAGTTTTCTCGATTGTTAAGATAACTGATTTTAGTTGGCACTTTCCCCCCCCAAAATTTTAATTCAGTTTTCAAAACAAAGACACATTTCTCAAAAGGTTTAACAATGAGTAGCCTAAAAACTGATCTCCTCACGCTGTCTGGGGACAGAGTCATCACCTGGTCGCCGGGAGGAGGTGGAGTCTTCTGTGCAGTGGTGCTGTTTTGTGCCTCAAAGCAAGCGCAGAAAAGGCATTCAGCTCGTTCAGCAGGGAGATGTTGCTGTCACAGGTCCGCGGTGGGGGCTTGTAGTCCGTAATGGTCTGTATCCCCTGTCGGGTATCAGACCGAATCAGACAATTTAAGATTTGATCAAGGACGTAGTTGAAACACGTGGAGCCGAATTCCACAGAGGCCCAAGACACAGGATGTTCGTAAATCAGATCCTGGCGCCACAAGCCAGTCTGAAGCCAGCCTAACCAACCAACTTTCACAGAACAGCTTTCAAAATTAACAGAGAACACACTGATCATAACATCTCAGGAAGGAGATTGTCAATTTGGGGCCAAGTAAGCAAGATTAATGGTCAAAGAAATGCACTGCATGACCATCATGTTAACCAGTGATAGTAATCACGAGCTCTTTGGATTGACTTCCCCCCACCTAGGAGTCAAAGAACAGACTGAGATTCCTTACAGACCTCTTATCCTCTGGTCTTCATGTCCACATACATTCACAGAATGGCACAGAAACTTCCTTTCCATGCACATAAATGACACTAAAAGGACTTGTGAGCAACTAATCATTTCTATGCATAACTCCATATAATGTTTGTAACCCACGTGTGTGACTATCTGGTCTTAATCATTTATTGTGTATGTATTTTGAATAACTATTGAATAGCTTAAGGGTTCATATTCATGTTTAGTATGTGTGTGTTTGAATCTTCTTGCTTGAAACGTTTCTTCCAATCAATTCTTTGTCAAATGTATCATATTCTTGTTATAGAAATCATGTCCAAAATTATACTCTGCAAGAGCGGGAAAAACTCGGACCATGTGCCTGATGAGATAACATTTTGATTTATGAATTGGGAGGAGAAATATACAACACCCCCAGCAAAGACAGCGTCTAATTGGTCAAACCACCATTTGGGATGTGGCCAAAAGCCCAGTTTAAATACTCAGGACACCATCAAATTGCTCTCTTTTCTCTCCCTTTTTCCATTTTCCCTGCTTTTTTAGTTTCTGCCTGCTTTAGTCATGTGCTTTCAAGTCATCACTTTTAGCCATGCGACTTTTTAGTCATAGCTTTGAGCTATGCTTTTTAATCATGCTTCTTTAGCTTTTTGAGTGTGTTCTGGCTCACACGCCAGCTCCTCCAAAACCACGAGGAGAAACGCCACCTAGTCTTGTCATAGTTTACTTCTATTTCTTTACTTTAGTTTATTTTATTTTATGTTGAGAGTTTCGTGTTTCGAGTTAAGTTTTGCCTAACGCCGTGTCTCCGAAAGAGTGCTGTCTAAAACTTCAACTACAACCACAACTCCGCGTCGTCAGCCAACGCCCAACCACTGGCTTCCCAAGACTGAACTTC